TCGTGATCTCTAGGACAGCGGTATTCCATGAACAAGCTAACTGGTCCAGGATACACCTCAACGAGGTATCCACCAGGCAGGAGACTAGGCCAGACGAGCAAGTGCAAGATAAACACGAAACGGCAGATAGACAGGAAAGGAAGGAACACAAACCCAAGCTCCAAGGCATCAAGGTTGAGGAATGGAAAGGGAATCACCCCAAGATAAGTGTAGACTCACTAACACAAAAGGAAGCCAGGTACTTACATGACACCGAACAAACGACAGATAGGCCAGTCAGATCAACCAGGAACCAATTACCAAGAAGGTTAAATGACTATGTGATGCACATACACACGAACCATATCACACCTAACTCATATGAAGAGGTATTGAGACTACCACAAGAGGAGAGGTCGAAATGGGAATCAGCCATGGCCAAGGAAATGGACAGTCTGAGAGAGCTAGAAGTTTACATTCCAGCCGAGGTTCCAGAGGGCAAAAATACGATAGGTACCAGGTGGATCTTCAAAATCAAGAACCTGGAGGGTGGCCAAAACCTGTACAAGGCTAGGCTGGTTGCCCAGGGATTTGCCCAGAGGTTCCCAGAAGACTACACTGACACTTACTCACCAACTGTAAGGACTGAAAGTGTCAAGAGTGCCCTGGTCATCGCTTCCCTGCTAGGACTAGAGGTACATCAGTTCAATGTATAGACAGCTTACCTGCATGCCAACCTAGATAAGGAAATATACGTTAGGGCACCACACAGTAAAGAGACCAACAGGGGGGGACACCTGGCTACTTCACAAAAACCTATATGGACTGAAACAATCCGGCAAACGCTGGTATGAGTGCCTGGTTGAGGTCCTGAAGTCAATGGGATTTACAGCAACCATAGCCGACAACTGTTTTTTCACTAGGAGAGAGGGGGATTCACCAGAATACATCCTAGTCTACGTGGACGACATACTTTACATCAGTAAACACGAAGGGAACCGCAACGCCTTCGCCAGTAAACTAAGTGAACACTTCACATTAAAATACCTAGGGAAAATAAACAGATACCTAGGCGTGCAGGTCAACGAAACACCTAAGGGCTTTCAACTGTCCCAGAAAGAAAAGATAGAAGAAATACTACACAAATGCAACATGGCAGATGCCAAGGGGTGTGAATCACCCATGCAGCCGGACTTCCTAAAAAATACACATGGTGAATCACCCGAGTTTGAAGACAACACACTGTACAGGTCAGTCATAGGCTCTCTTTTATATATCGCCAACTGGACCAGGCCAGATATTGCATTATCAGTTAATCTATTGTCCAGGCACATAGGCAAACCCACCATGTACCACTGGGACGCTGTAAAGAGGGTACTGAGGTACCTGAAGCAAAGTGCCGACGCATGTCTAGTCCTAGAACCAGAGCCGTCCAATGAGCCCGTCCTCTCCTGCTATGCTGATGCTGACTGGGCCGGTGACACCAAAAGCTGGAAAAGCACATCAGGATACGTATTCTACTTGAACAATAGTCCGGTGCATTGGTACACGGGTAAGCAAAACTTAGTGGCCACTTCAACCACAGAGGCGGAGTACATATGCCTATCCAAGGCCGCAAACAACCTCATCTGGTTTGACGACCTACTCGCCAGTGTGTGGTGCAAACCTGCGTATCCGATAAACATCTACGAAGACAACAAGGCCGCTATAGAAATCTCCATGGCCGACGCGGTAGGGCAGAGATCCAGGCATATTGACATAAAGTACAAGCATGTGAGACAGCTCTCTAAAATCGGATTTGTAAAGGCCATACATTGCGACACAGAAGAACAGACTGCAGACATACTCACGAAACCACTACAGGGCAGGCAACACTCACACCTGGTATCCAAACTCAATATCCGCCCTTGGGCACCATTTAAACAGTCAGATCCACAGCCACAGGTCAGGCATTTAGAGGGGGATTTGTCAGAAATAAATGCCTTACTCATGCCAGGGGTCAACAGGGACACAGTAGTGCAGGGGTTAACTACAATACTCACTTGGTCAGTACCACCCACTGACCACTCCTTACCTGAATCTCCGCCCACAAGTATAAAAAGTAGACACACTCTTCCCCGACTTCCACTTCCAGATGCAGTATGTGACGTAATGATGAACCTGTAAATAAAAGAGACTTATTCAAATGATTGACTCGTGCCAGTTATTGGGCCTGATCCATGGATTCTGTAACAGGTCCAACTGTTGGGCATTTAGAGGGGGATTTGTTATGTGTAAATGCCCACCATTCACCATCCCAGGTATGATAAGGGTTAACTCTACATCCACCTAGATCCTCCCCTGACCCCTCCTTCCCTTAGCTCCGCCTCCCAGGTACTTAAGTCATGGTCCAGGAGTCCAGGGGCCACTTCCAGCTAAATACCTGTAATAGAAACGTTGATCAATAAAGAGCATTGGTTCACTGCATCCTGTGTTTGGATTCATTGGGTAAGATCCTAGAAATCAGTCTCAGGGAGGGGAGAGGGAGAGAAAGAAGGAGGGAGGGAGACACAGAAGGCGAAAGTGAGGGAGAGGAAAGGTTAGAGGGGAAGAAAGGGAGGGAAGGGAAGAGTGAAAAAGAGAGAGGGAGGGTGAGAGAGAGTGGGAGGCGAGAGGGAGGTTGAGGAATTCTCTAAATGGAGTAATTCATTGAGTAATTGAATTCAGATCATGATTTCTCTAGCTTGGTGATTTTCTTCTCCCTAACCAGCAGATCTCGTCTGAGCTCTCCATATTTGCTCTTTTGGGAACTTAGTCAGCTTCTCTAAACTGGGGCTGAAGGTGATGTTCAGAGAGGCCAACACCTACCTGCCCCGTCCCGATCTAAGAGAGAAGACCATCGGGAAGGTTTTCTTCTCGGAGGTGAGGAGACCTTGGGATGCACCCCAATATTCTGGACAGCCATTTGTCTGAGGTTGTAGAGCAGGGGTCCTCCAACGTTTTAAAGAGGGGGCCGATTCATTTTTTTTGCCTTTCTCCTTCCTAAGCCCCCGTTTAAATTGTTTTTAAAGACTTTTAATTTGAAGGAGTTCTTTACAAGCCCAGAGCTGCTTTTCCAGGCTGCACCGGCGAGATCACCCCTCAGCTGGCCCTCAGCTGGCCTTGCAGCTGGCTCGCTGGGAGATAAGGCAGTTAGGGGCGGGGCAAGGGGCGGGGCTTAATCACACCACCCGCGGGCCGTATTCTTTGCCCGTGGGCCGTAGTTTGAGGGTGCCTGTTGTAGAGGGTCTGCTGCTTGAGCAGGGGGTCTCCAAGGTCTTCTGCTAGTCTGTTAATCGGTGGAAGGGCTTCCCTCCAGAAGTTGTTGGTGGGGAAGGTGGGAGGAAGAAAAGAAGGAAGGATGGAAGGAAGGAAGGAAGCAGAGAGAGTGAGTGAGTGAGTGAGTGAGTGAGTGAGTGAGGGAGGGAGGGAGGAAGGAAGGAAGGAAGGAAGGAAGGAAGGAAGGAAGGAAGGAAGGGAGGAAGGAAGGAAGGAAGGGAAGAGAGGGAGGAGGAAGGAGGAGAGGAGGGAGGGAGGAAGGAAGGAAGGAAGGAAGGAAGCAGAGGGAGGGAGGGCGGATGGGAGGAAGGGAGGAAGGCAGACTCAATGACCCCAAATTCCTTTTACTCTTTGCATTATAGGCAGTTTTGTATTTTTACAACTGTCATTTACACTACCTTTTCCCATAGTATAGTCCTCGACATATGACCGTCATAGAACCTCCAGTGGTCACTAAGTGATCGCAGCAGTCCTTAAGCCAATGCCGTGGTCGAATACTTAGGATAAACAAGATCTTTCAGTGATTTCCTTCTATAGATTGTCCTCGTCTTACGACCACAACTGAGCCCCAAATTTCTGCTGCTAAGCGAAACAGTTCTTCAGCAAGTTTTGCCCCACTGTACGACCTGCAGTTGTTAAGTTAGTCACACGGTTCTTAAGTGAATCCGGTTTCCCCATTGACATGGCCTATCAGACGGTCACTGATGGCTTGGTGGGAGAGATGGGGAGGGGAGAGATGGGGAACTCATCAAATTTGCAGATGACACCAAGCTGGCAGGAATAGCCAACACTCCAGCAGATAGGCTCAAGATACGGAAGGATCTTGACAGATCTTGAACATTGGGCGCTATCTAACAAAATGAAATTCAAGAGTGAAAAAAGCCAGGTTCTACTTTTAGGGAAGAAAAACCAAATGCACAGGTACCGTAGATGTGGTCCCTTGCTCAATAGTGGTGACTGTGAGAGGGGTCTTGGAGTCCTAGTGGACAACCATTTAGATAGGAGCCAGCCGTGTGCAGCAGCTGCCAAAAAAGCCAACACAGTTCTGGGCTGCGTAAACAGAGGGAGAGAATCAAGAGCCCGTGAAGTCTTAATACCACTGGAGGCGAAAACATATGAAGAACGGTTGCAGGAACTGGGTAATTTAATTTAATTTAATTTAATTTAATCAATTGAATTTATATGCCGCCCCTCTCCGAAGACTCAGGGCGGCTATGTCTAGTTTGATGAAGAGAAGGACTAGGGGAGACAGGATAGCAGTCTTCCAATATCTCAGGGGCTGCCCCAAAGAAGAAGGGGGCGGGAGAAGAAGCAACGGGTGGAAACTCATCAAGGAGAGAAGCAACCTAGAACTAAGGAGAGATTTCCTGACCGTTAGAACATTCACCCAGTGGGACAACTTGCCTCCAGAAGTTGAAGCTGAAGTTGAAACTCCAACCACACTGGAAGCTTTTCAGAAGAGATTGGTCTGAGATGATTGTAGGGTCACCTGCCTGAGCTAGGGGTTGGACTAGAAGACCTCCAAGGTCCCTTCCAACTCTCTTATTCTGAAATAATTGGAGAATTCTACTCAGTTCAAAGTTCAACTGATTAAGACAATAGCTGTGACTCGTGGAAACAGCAGATAGTTATGTTCAGTGAAGGCATTCAAAATACACAAAGACATTATTAATAGGGTATATTTCTCACAGACGCTGGGACCCTGAACATAACACGCTCTCATATTGTTGTTTGACTTATTAGCGTTTATTTCATGTCTAAAGTCTCTTCCAGTAATGAAACTATTTGTGTCCAATCCAGAAAACGTTCAGCAAGTGAATGGCAGCTCAAATCTCTGGAGAAAGCGCAGACACCTTGATGTGCCGTGTAACCCCGTGAGAAAGAAGGAATGGTTAGGTGCAAAACTGACGGTAGGGAGATCTGATGCCATGAAGGTTGTTCAAAGCTGAAGAGGCCAAGAAACTCGAAATTTAAAGAGCTGCCGGTGTTTAAAGCAACTGGAGCAAACTCAGCTCTGAAACCAGAAGCTGCATTGAATCACCAAAATCGCCCCCCCCCTTCAAAACAAACTTTCTTTCTTTCTTCATCTAAGTGAAAGGATTGTCCATCTCACAAAGGAAGAGATTCTGGATGGTCTGCAAGGAAACTGAAACGCAGGCAACCCTTGACTTGCCATCACAATCTAGGCCAAAATTGAGGTTGCTAAGCGAGACGGTCCTTAAGTGAGTTTTGCCCCATTTTACAACCTTTCTTGCCACCGTTGTTAAGTGAATCCCTAGAGTGGAAACTAGACAGCCACTTATCCGAAATGCTATAGGTTCTCCTGCTTGAACAGGGGGCTGGAACAGAAGCCCTCCAAGATCCCTTCCAGCTCATTCTATTCTATTCTATTCTATTCTATTCTATTCTATTCTATTCTATTCTATTCTATTCTATTCTATTCTATTCTATTCTACTCTACTCTACTCTATTCTATTCTATTCTACTCTACTCTACTCTACTCTACTCTACTCTACTCTACTCTACTCCAGTTCCAACACTCACTCTTCACAACAGGATGGATCATAGGCTGAAAAAGCTTCCCTTCCTGAAGAAGGACAGCAAGGAGTCAGAGTCACAAATCAGCAACAATGACCTGTGTCAGTGGGACAACCAGGAAGTCCTCTTCTCTGGCTCCCACCCATCCGGTTCTTTAGCCAGAACCATGGAGGCCTTGCCTCTGATTGTGACGTCTTCCCCAGTTCAATTGGAGGTCAGGAAGAAGGTTCAGCCTCCAGCGCTGGTGCTCCCTGATTTGGTGCGCAGGACATCTGCCAGGACTCCTCTGAAGGCTTCTCAGGGGGAGATGAAGCCTGGCCTGAAAGAGCCCCCTCCCTTTCCAAGGAGGCCCAAGAGGGAAAGGCCTCGGGGGAGAAAACGCTCTCAAGACACCGTCCTTCCCTCATATCCAGGTATAGGCGCTACAGGGCTGGGCTACCTATGGAACCACCTTGTCCCATCATATCAGCCCATCCCACACTACCAATCAATCTATCTATCAGAACACAGCCAGAAGGGACCTTGAAGGTCTTCTAGTCCAACCTCCTGCTCAAGAAGGAGATGCTACACAATCCCAGACAAATGCCTATCCAGTCTCTTCTTAAAAGCCTCCAGTGATGAAGCACTCACAACTTCTGGTGGCAAGAAGTTCCACTGGTTGATTGTCCTCACTGTTAGGAAGTTTCTCCTTAATTCCAGGCTGCTTCTCTCCATGAGTAGCTTCCATCCGTTGCTTCTCTTCCTGCCTTCTGCTGCTTTGGAAAATAAGTTGACCCCCTCCGCCATATATGGAATTGGAAAAAATTCCAATTCCATATATGGAGTTCAAAGTTCCTCCTCAAGACGGTTGTCTAAGAATATGAAGATCAGGGACTCGAGAGTTATGACACGTTTGACCCTTCCCTCAGGATCAGTCTGGTCTAAGCACATTTTTTTCTCTCTTCGCTTTGAGAAGACTTGTCCCATCAAATTGCCCATCAATCTCTGTCTGTCTCTTCTTCTCAGAACTCTCTGACGAGTCCTTTAAAATTTTATGGGAGAGCAAGAAGCCGCTAAAAGGCAGACCCATCAAGGAAGTCCTCATGAACCTCATGATTTAGCAATGCAGTGCAAGCCATCAAAAATTTAATATTATGTGCCGGCTATCAGGAGGAGTTCAGTCAGTTGGAGAAGGTTAGATGCTGGGACATGACGGTGACTCCTGATGGTTTGTTCGAAGCCATTTTCTTCCTGGTCCTGTAAGAAATTAAAAGACAAAAGAGGTTGGCTACAAGTGGCAGCGGGTGGGAGAGGGAGGGGAGGGGAGAGGGAGAGGAAGAAGAAAAGGCAGAGAGAGAGAGAAAGCTAGAGAGAGTGGGGAGAGGGAGGGGAGGGGAGAGGGAGGGGAGAGGAAGAGAGAGAGGGAGGGAGGGAGAAAGAGAAAGAGGGAAAGAGAGAGAGGGGGAGAGAGAGAGAGAGGGAGAGGGAGGGGAGAGGGAGAGAGGGAGGGAGGGAGAGAAAGAGAGAGAAAGAGAGGGAGGGTGAGAAATTCTCTAAATGGAGTAATTCATTGAGTAATTGAATTCAGATCATGATTTCTCTAGCTTGGTGATTTTCTTCTCCCTAACCAGCAGATCTCGTCTGAGCTCTCCATATTTGCTCTTTTGGGAATTTAGTCAGCTTCTCTAAACTGGGGCTGAAGGTGATGTTCAGAGAGGCCAACACCTACCTGCCCCGTCCCGATCTAAGAGAGAAGACCATCGGGAAGGTTTTCTTCTCGGAGGTGAGGAGACCTTGGGATGCACCCCAATATTCTGGACAGCCATTTGTCTGAGGTTGTAGAGCAGGGGTCCTCCAACGTTTTAAAGAGGGGGCCGATTTCAGTCCTTGTTTTTCTAGGTTCATCTTTGGGCTGCCATTTTTCTATTTTCTGCTTTTCTCCTTCTAAGCCCCCGTTTAAATTGTTTTTAAAGACTTTTAATTTGAAGGAGTTCTTTACAAGCCCAGAGCTGCTTTTCCAGGCTGCACCGGCGAGATCACCCCTCAGCTGGCCCTCAGCTGGCCTTGCAGCTGGCTCGCTGGGAGATAAGGCAGTTAGGGGCGGGGCAAGGGGCGGGGCTTAATCACACCACTCCGCGGGCCGTATTCTTTGCCCGTGGGCCGTAGTTTGAGGGTGCCTGTTGTAGAGGGTCTGCTGCTTGAGCAGGGGGTCTCCAAGGTCTTCTGCTAGTCTGTTAATCGGTGGAAGGGCTTCCCTCCAGAAGTTGTTGGTGGGGAAGGTGGGGGGAAGGAGGGAGGGAGGGAGGGAGGGAGGGAGGGAGGGAAAAGAAGGGAGGGAGGGAGGGAGGGAGGGAGGGAGGGAAGAAGGGAGGGAGGGAGGGAGGGAGGAAGGAAGGAAGACTCAATGACCACAATTTCCTTTTACTCTTTGCATTATAGGCAGTTTTGTATTCTTACAACTATCATTTACATTACCTTTTGCCATACTGTAGTCCTCGACATATCACTGTCATAGAACCTCCAGTGGTCACTAAGTGATTTCAGCAGTCCTTAAGCCAATGCCGTGGTCGAATACTTAGGATAAACCAGATCTTTCAGTGATTTCCGTCTAAAAGTTGTCCTCGATATACGACCACAACTGAGCCCCAAATTTCTGTTGCTAAGCGAAAGTTCTTAAGCAAGTTTTGCCTCATTGTTTGACCTTCCTTGCCACAGTTGTTAAGTGAATCGCTGCAGTGCAGTTCTTACGGTGGTCAATCTGATGAATTAGTGAATCTGGTTTCCCCATTGACTTGGCCTATCAGACGGTCACAAAAGGGATCACGTAACCTCGAAACACTGCGACCGTCATAAATATGGACCGGCAAGTACCCAAATTTCGATCACATGACCATGAGGATGCTACAATGGTCTGAAAGTCTGAAGAATGGGCATGTCCCTTTTGTCAGTGCCGTTGTGACTTTCAGTGGTCACTAACCGAGGACTGTATTTTCTTTTTCTCTCCCCGTAAGGGCTGAAAGTGGCATCTTTAGTCGAGGCTCTCGGGGCAGTTCCCTTCCTTGGCTTGGCTAATGCTCCGTATCTCCACTCTTCTTCCTCAGCTGCTGTATCACCCGGAGGTTGGAGACTTCTTTATGACGCCAGACATTCTCGAGGTTCTCCTGGAATGGATGATTCAGCCGTATCCTCTTATCCAGATCTTTAGCGTGAGAGGACTGGGATATGTTCTTCAGCACCCCTTGGAGGTAAGAGATGGGGGGCAGGAAGGGAGTGGCTTCCAAGGTAGTAGCAGGTGTGGCCTCACTCTCTGGGAAGTCTTCAAGGCTGGGGAGGACAGAAGAAGGAGAAGAAGACAATCATCAGGAACAGGATGGACTCAGCTAGAGTGGTGGGTGCACCCCTGGAAGATCTGAAGGATCAAGTAGATCCTCTTGGAGAAGATCTCAAAGCAGAACAAGAGGAAACAGATGGGAACTGATGAAGGAGAGAAACAACCTGGAACTAAGGAGAAATTTCCTGACTGTGAGAACAATTCATCCTTGGAACGACTTGCCTCCAGAAGTTGTGGCTGCTCCATCACTGGAGCTTTTCAAGAAGAGACCAGGCAGCCATTTGTCCAGCATAGTCTAGGGTCTTCTGCTTGAGCAGGGGGTTGGACTGGAAGACCTCCAAGTTCCTTTTCAACCCTCTTCTTCTATGCTCTGTGGGCTTCTCTTGTGCTTGTCATGATCGCTGCGAGACTCAGAGAACTCCAGTGACCGTGTTTGATTGCTCGTTCCTTTCCCTGCTTCCTCCAGAAGAACATCTCAGGGCCAGTTTTCATGCCGGTCATCAACTGCGCTTGTCACCCAGAGAAGAGTGTAGCGAAGGAAACTCTCCGGACCCTTCATTTCCTCCTTAGGCACCTTGCTGCGGACATCCATGCATTGAGGCGGTCCATCTAATTCCTCTCCTGTTGAAATATTTTCCTGACGAAAGTCAACCAAATCACGACAAACTGGTTTCCCCTCCTCTTTTTTAATTATTTCTGTAAGAAATAAGAAATGAATGAAGGAATCAATAAATACATGAGTGAATGGATGAATAAAGGAACGAATAAACAAAGGAATAGATGGATAAATGAATAAATAAATGAATGGATTAATGAATAGATGAACCGATGGATGGATGAATGACTGGATGGATAGATGGAAGGATGGAAGGATGGATGGATGAATATCAAAGCTGTTCTGGCGAGGAAGCCCACAGATGCCTCTACTTTCAGTGGTGCATTTTGGGGGGTGGGGGCTTATGCCAAATTTTGCTCCAATTTTTTTTTTTTTAATTTCTATACCGCCCTTCTCCTGAAGGACTCAGAGCGGTGAACAGCCACAAGATAAAACACATAAATACAAAAAATTTAAAACGAATTAAAAACGAATTAAATAATTTCAGCCCCCACCAGTTTGCCCACTGCCTCCCACCAACCAGGGCATGCCTGCTCTTGATGAGGAGACCCCCCGAGGCTGACTCTTCTGCTCAGCCCCTTCCCCCTTCCCTCAGGCCTGGCCCACCTCTAGATTTAAGGAAAGCAGAGCCGCGGGCTGAGGGCTTACTGCAATGGGCATGGTAGACTTGCTGTTTCTTCTCCCGATGGCTTTGGTGCTGGGGTCTTGATCCTGAAGCCTTTTGAGGAGGGGCTTCATGATCTTCAGGTTAGCATAGGGGTCTGCGGCCAGCGCCTTCCATAACTCTCTGGTGCTTCTGTGCAGGTGGAAAAATGGATTGGGGGAAAAATCAGATTCTTTCCCCATTTTCGAAGAGACGGCCAATCCAGATAGATTAAATCCCCCCCACCAACGGAAGAAAGGATTAGAAAACAGATGGCCAAATGAACCGTTTTAATACAAACAGGGTGTGTCTAACTGATGAGGACTTATAAGTCCAAAATAGATCTATCATAGTCTCCTTAGTCTCCCAATGGGCAGCAGAGTGTTTGCTGGCTGCCAGAAAAAAAAAAGCCTAGAAACTAGTGGATTGTGATTTCACTGAATTAGGGTTCCATAAAAATCTTGGTTTATGTAGGAAGAACCTGGCTAAAGAGAAATACACATAAAGCCTATGAAAAGGAAAGGAAAAAAAAAAAAACAAATACTGTACCTTTACAGGGAGGATACATGGGATGAGGGTGTGGCTAACTGATGAGGACTTATAAGTCCGAGATAGATCTATCATAGTCTCCTTAGTCTCCCAATGGGCAGCAGAGTGTTTGCTGGCTGCCAGAAAAAAAAAGCCCAGCATCAGACGCTTGGCCACTGGTTCAGATTTATGACCGTTGCTGTGTCCCAAAGTCAAGCGATCACAGTTTGCGACCTTCTGACAAGGAAAGTCAGTGGGGAAACCAGATTCACTTAACAACCATGTTTCTAACTTGAGAGCTGCAGTGATTCACTTAACAGATGTGACAAGAAAAGTCCTAAAATATCTTTAAAAGGTCATTCCCATATCCTCTTCCCCCTCCCTCTCCCCTCCTTCCCTCCTTCCCTCTTTCCCTCCCTCCCTCCCTCCCTTAATTCCTTCCTTCCTTCCTTCCTTCCTTCCTTCCTTCCTTCCTTCCTTCCTTCCTTCCTTCCTTCCTTCTTTCCTCAACAACTGTTTCTAACTCAACAACTGCAGTGGTTCACTTAACAACCATGGCAAGAAAGTTCGTAAAATGGGGGGAAATCCACTTAACAACTGTCTTGCTTCAGAACAGCAATGTTGGGCTCACTTGTGTCGTAAGTCGAGGACCGCCCATATATTCCTCTGGGTTGGTATCTCCCTGTGAAGGAGCCAGGGTTGCCAACTGATCTGATGGCAGGAAGCTTACGTTGCTCCTGGGCCTTTGCTGCTTCTTCTCTGCAGCAATGAAAGCCTTCCGAAGCACGGAAACCCTGGTCCACTCCCGAAGTTTGCTTTCCAAGGAAGCCCAGGCAGGTAAAACGTTGGCCGTTCCCCTGCCACATCTGCTGAGGAGTTGGCAAGCCACACCGCACCCTCCGTGGCTGAGAGTTCAGTGGGCCGTCCCTCACGGAGGGCCTCTGCGCCACCGGAAGTGCCAGGGACCCCAAAACTGGTCAAGGGGGGGGAGGTTTCCAGGAGCAGCGTGTCTCCAAAATTAACCCAAAGGTGCTTTTCCCAGAATGACCCAGTTGGAAGTTGGAGCAGTGGTGAAATTCAAAAATTTTCCCTACCGGTTCTGTGGGCGTGGCTTGGTGGGCAGTTGACCGGGTGGGCGTGGCTTGGTGGTTATGTGACTGGGTGGGCGTGGCTGCACAACTGACTCACACGCAATGCAAAAGCTGCTTGACTTCACACAAAATGGCCCCTGCAACAAACAGGAACCTCACAGAATCACAGAGAGCTCAAAAAGAAATTATTACACTTTGCACAAAAATAACACAAAAGCTGCACAACTGACTCACACGCAATGCAAAAGCGGCTGAACTTCACACAAAATGGCCCCTGCAACAAGCAGGAACCTCATAGACAATCAGGCACAGCTGATTTCTCACAGCTGATTGGTAGTAAAAAAATGCTAAAAAAAAGTTTTAAAAAAGCCTGGTTCAGCTGATTGTCGTACTTTTTAAAGCATTTTTAAACTATCGGTTTGGGCAAAAGGTAGCAATTATTACTATCGGTTCGGGCTCACCTGCCCAAACTGGTAGCATTTCACCCCTGCCTTGGAGGCCTTCTACTCCAAACCACTTCTTTTTTTTTATTAAAAAGTTTTTTTTAATTTTACACATATTTTCCCTTCCCTCCTCCCCCCTCCTGCCCAACCCTCCCACCCCCACCCCCCCGACTTCCCAGA